TTTGAATGACATCTGACGCTATGTCAGCCTATTATATAGGGAGGCACTGGCCCCTCCTGACATGGGCGTCACCTAGCCAGCCTGTAAGGGCTGGCGTAATGGTATTTGAGCTTCTGATGAGGTCACGCAGGAGGCGTTCCCATAGTGAGACACGAAACGAATGCTATGAAAGAGAACTGTACATAAGCAGTGAACACAGCGGGAACACATTACAAGCACGTGTTGACGGTATCTTTGTAATACCTCTATGTGCCACAAGGGGGAGACAAATATTCAGCACAACAAGTTTATTGTTAAAGAAAAGCTGTTTTGTTTTGCACATTTGAGAAGTATAAGCAACCTATAATTATATTTTACTTATTCCTACAGGGTTTCCTTAAAAGTACTAAAGCTCATATCTACAAGTTTCATTCTAAAGAGAAAACTTTATGCTGATCTAAGAAAAGACGAAAAGGCACAATCGAATCCTGGTACCCTGGATGAGAACATGTTTCAAAAATTTAATAACCTGTTGCGTGTACAGGGCGTGACTTATAGGTGACAGAGAGTGGTTACTCATAAGCCAAGCCCTGTGTGTATAGGGCGCAGCGATAATAAAGGGGTGGTAACACAGGGGTAATAAGGAAAAAAAAAGATAACAAGAAACAGCAAGACGGTTGTGGGTGTAGGTGATGGGATTGCTGTTTATCTTGATGTGAGGAAAGTAAAAGCAGCAGACAAAGGTACATTAGTCATACTATACGGGAAGAAAGAAAAAAATGTAATGAAAATTATCTTAATAAGAAGAGGAGGGCTTTTAGACATTCCAGCAAAGGCAAGCCACAGAATAAAGGTGTGCTGTAGGGTCCAACACCTGCCTCCCCCATGGATGCCCCAGTCTCAAGCTGGCCTCCTGCCATGCTTACTCTATTGAAGTGCATTTATCCCCCTTTCCTGTGTTCTGTTGCACTTTCTACATTTGTGTGTGAAGCACCAGTAGAGCTTGTGTAGAGAACAAGAAACCCACCGGTGTAACCCACCATTCAGCACCCCACCTGTAGCATATTACAGGGCCCACCTGCAGGAAGCGAGGGCAAAATTTGAAAAAAATAAATAAATAAATAACAGCAACAGATAAACAATTAATTTGAATTAATATGCAATCATTCCTAATGATTATTACTATATTAAGAGCCAGTGTTATTGTACTAATGTCGGGTAAACTGGGCCCTGAAAAGTCCTACTTTGCATAATTATCTTTTTTCAAAATGCTTAGGACGCATTAGCTCAGATCACATGGCCATAGCTGACTGAAGTCTTGGTGTGTTTCACTTCAGCTTTCAGGGGCTTACCCACTGTGTCTAAGTGTAGAACAAAAACTGATGACATCGCAAACTATGGAAATACCAGCGGGCACCAGTTCTACCCCTTTATGCCTACAGTATAAATCTGAAAATACCCTATCAGGCTTTTAAGGTTGTGGGTAAAAAAGCTTAAGAGTCATCTGCAGCACCAGGAGTGGCAACAGCAACCACAGCCAGGTTTAGTGTCACCCACAGTATTCACAGTGTAATTACTGATGGCACTGTAGAAGTCAAAAAAATACATACCTCACTGATGCATTTGTTCTAAGAGCACATGATGCACTAATGTATTTGGAGCAATGATGTGCTGTTTATTCAAATGTTTACATCTTGGAAAAAAGTAAAAAGAACAAAACAAAACAAACAAAACTTAAAACCAATATATACCCACAAGAAGTGTACTGTTTAATTGTAGTTTTTCCAAGGCTGAGGAGGTAATTTGTATTAAAAATAAATAAAAATAAATAACTAAATGCAGAGTCTTTAATATATTAACACGTGTGTACATGCGTGAGACATGCTTCATCAGTCTCAAAGTTTTTCTGGCTTTGGCCAATGAGGATTTCTACAAATCATGCACTGGTCATACTTATTGTTAGCCTGGTATAACTTATAGCTTTATTTAGAACTGTGCAAAACACGTTTGTTGTGTGTTCACAGAGTAGACATCATCAAGACATGACAATAGTAAAAGTGGCCAGTGGGTGTCACTGTGGAAATTGTTTTGAAACCTCAGTACAATCCTGGCACAGCTGCTTCAAATGTTTCACTACTTCACACAGCTGTACTTCTCCCCTGAGCTACACCACTGACAACAATTTTAACCAAAAGTTTCACATTTAAATTCAGCACTCCATCAGATGTGTTGCCACCGATTTCAGTCCAGTTCTTGTGTAATTTGTCATACTTGAGCCTTTTTGTCCTTATTTTCCTTCCTTAAGAATGGCTTCTTGATAGCCAACCTTCAGCTGAGACCATTTCTGAGGCTTCAGTGAACAGCAGATGGGTCAACAGAAGTGCGAGATGCATCTTCTCAGGTTCTATGTCAGGTCTTTCCTTGATTTTTCCTATTTTTTGAGAAAATGACTTAAATATATTGTTGCATTTGTTGTAGATTGCCTGCCACTTCTTTTGTCGTCCACTTGTCCACTTTCATTTAAAGGACATACTGCACACCGTGGTGAGGTTTGCCATGTTTTTGGCGTACAAGACATTTTATGCCTCTTAATCTTTTTTTTTTTTATCTCTGGCATTATTGTAGATTTAACTAAAGAAATGGGAATGAATTGTGTTTTCATGACAAGCTGCTAGTAACAAAGTGCCTAAAGATACTATTTAAAATTGGTTCTTTGCTAATTCGTCTGTTATGTGCAGCCAACACTGGCTCATTCCTTGAGTTAGGTGTCTTTTTTTGTTTGTTTGAATGATTCATAGGTTAGTGTTATGTGGCTTATGTGGAAAAAATACTTCTCTGAAATTTGTGAGGTATAAGAACTGGACCGAAGATAAGTGGAAAAAGCAGACAAATGTCCAAACTCTTTTGCACAACACTATATAATTAATTATGTGCAGAAACAAAGCACCACTGAACTAAACGGGGAGATAACACAACTGTATTAACTGACTGCAGAAGTATGGAGGACTAATACTGCAACCTGTGGATGTTACCTCATATCTGTCTTTGGAGGCGGCGTAGTGCAGAGGGGTGCATCCATTTTGATTAACTGAGTTGAGCTGAGCTCCTTTGGATATCAGAGATCTCACGATGTCTTCTCTGCCTGCAGATGCTGCAATGTGCAAAGGGGTCCACGAAGCCTGAGAGCGAAAAACAAAACACAGACATCAGTGGCATCATTCTGAAACAATGTGTTCATCAGTATATCTCTTGTATTAATGGTCACATGGCACCTTATAGGGAAAAGTCTACAGAAGGAAAGAATTAATGTACCCACAAATAAACTTACATCATCTTGCAGGTTCACTTCAACTCCCATGTCAAGAAGAAACTCCACAATATCGGTGTGTCCAGCAGAACAAGCCCAGTGCAGCGCGGTTCTCCGGTCCTGAAATCACAGAAAGTTGTGTTGCTTTAAAAAGAAAATTATTATTCCGATTTCCTGTAGGGACAAACGAATTCCCGCAGGCTGTACTGGTGGGTCATGTGTTCTTACCTGGTCTGTTTTGCAGGCAAGCGTTTTATCTGACAGGATGCACTGTTTTAATTTCTCAAACTGCCCCGTGTAAGCAAAGTTACACACCTCCACATTGGACACAGACCCCTCCATTCTTAAAATATAGCTAAATGTCCAAATAAATATATTAAAGCTTACTGAGGATACTCTTTAGTTATTTCGTTTAATAAACCACAGAAGCAATGACTCAGGAAATTATGAGTTCTCTTTCCGCGCTGGTCGACCTTTTCTTTTCAAACTAAAACTCCATCACCAAAATGGTACTGACTTTGCCACGCCACTTCCGCGTTAGTCAACATTTACTACCACTATTGTTTCCTTAAAATGTAAAAAACACGACATGAAAGTGGAACTCGGAAGAGAGAAGCTTAAATGAGTCTGAAAGATTGTACTGACATCTTATTTTGGTAGGCAGAGTTGGTGCCCCGAGGAAGTAATACCCAGTGTGATAGAAATTTGTTGGTTGCTAAAGGAATAACAAGAGAAGAAAAGAAGTCTGAATTGTTTTCTTGTTTTCTCGGTCTTTTTGTAATATTTTTGTTTTGAGTTGTTTCCAATAATTTATCCGTTCATATGGCAACCACCCTGGTAAGCTTTTCCATGCCGTTTCCAAAAAAAACACACGTTAAATCACCGTGTCCAGCTTTGAGTAATACGTAGTTATCTCTTCAGGATTTCAGGACTCATGCCGACCAGTCATGCAGATATTCAGAAGAATTTGTCAACATTTATTACGACTGTATGGATAAGAAGAGGCGGGTGAGTTTTGTTTCTGTAATTTAACTTAAATTAATTTGTAAGACCAAACTACATACGGTGGCCCGAAAGTGCCGGTCATTCAATTAGGCACACATTTCTAGTTGCGCCTCTCTTTTTCCTTCAGTCCCGTCTTAAATCTTCATGGCAAAGATTCAACAAAGTGATTTTGGTGCTTGTGGACTTGACAGCGTCACAGATTTGTCAGCTGCATATCCATGATGTAACTCCTGTTCCACTTTGAAAGGCCAAGTTGGATTGTGATCTAATGACCGGAGGCCATTTTACTACAGTGAATTCATTGTCATGTTCAAGAAACCAGTCTGAGACGGCCTGAGCTTTGCAATGTGATGGAAGAGCTTGTAATAGTCATCAGAAGATGACTACACTGTGGTCACAAGGGGATGCGTATGGTCAGCAACGTCAGCTAAGATGTGACATTTAAACAGCTGGTACAAAGGAGCCATGTACCAAGAAAATGTCCCAAAAAATCTTAAACTCCAATATAAATGTTAAAGACCAAACGAAAATGACGTATTTCATTGAAAATGTTATTCCAAAAACACAAACCACATTAGCTATAAATTGCTAATGTTGTGCAGTCGTATGAAAAGTGTTAAGGCCAATGTGTGACCCACTCCTTCAATACAGAGTTTAAGTTAAAGTAATGAGTAATATCACAAACTAACCACCTCCAGTTACCAATTTTAATTTCTGTTTCAGATAAACATTTATATACATTTATACATTTAAGTGTACATACTTGTGAGTAATTACAAACTGAATTTCTACCTGCAGTACCTTTTGTGGCCTGCCGGGGGTGGGGCAGCCCACACTTTAACAATCACTGACCTACGCCATCACACCTCCACCATCCTTAACTGTTGATACAAGGATAGATCTGTGCTATCACTTTGTTTACACCAAATTCAGACCCTGCCAAATGTTGCAGCAGAAAGCAAAAATCATCAGATCAGGCAACATTTTCTAGTCTTCTGTATTTGGTCAACTTTAGTTAGCACGTGTGAATTGTAGTCTCCGCTTCCTGTTCTTAGCTGACAAGAGTGACAGCCTGTGGTCTTCTGCTGCTGTAGCCAATCTGCTTCAAGGTTTGAATGCATTCACAGATGCTCTTCTGGGTGTTTCATCTTTGCGTTTTTCATCTTTTGGCCATTATAAGTCCTGATATATTGGTCAGTACATCGGTTGGGCTCCAGCTTGAATAAGTACCTAATAATGTGGCCAATGAGTGTAGGTTCTAGCATGTTGAAACTTAGCTTTAAAATCTTCTAAGTAAGAGATATTGTGAAGACTTCCTTTTTTGGGCCTGTGATGTAAATTTATTACATCACAGGGTGATGTAATAAATAATTTATTACATCCTGGGTGATGGTGGGGGTACCACCATCACCCAGGACCTGAAGTGGGAGCCCACCATCACCTCCGTCATCAAGAAAGCCCAGCAGAGGATGTACTTCCTGAGGCAGCTGAAGAAATTCAACCTGCCAACACGGACGATGATGCAGTTCTACA